AAGTTTCTGTCCGAGTAAGTCTTGCGCGCGTAAATTGACCGAGACCAAAGAGGATTTCGGTTGAGTATAAGATCTAAAAGAGAACAAAACATAAAAGGCTAAAGAGTAGGCTACTGTTCTTGTCCCAACCCCTTCATTCGCCTCCCCCTTATCTGGTATTCCGGGCACGGGTTTATCACGAATGAAGTATACAGAAGAGGTACACGCCGATTTCAATTTAACATTCGACCGACGACGTTTCCTGCCCGCAATGGACACAAAGGCGGAGATGTAGTCTTTTATTTTTTCGACAAGAGAATATTTATTTTCTTTTTTTCAACCCCCTTTCGATGGCCATAGTCTACATGGTGCTCGAGGCACGTTCTGTCATTCGATTTCGCGAGTAAAAGACAAGAGGGAATTCTCTTTTATTTAATTTGCCGTCCAGATTTTTTACCTGCCCGTTATTTACCGATAATAAAATAATAATGCGTAAAAGGTCTCTTTTGATTTTGTCCAAATAAAAGGCATTCACTAACGAAATGCGTCACTTGCATACTTAGATATATTCAACAGTCCGGTAGCGCATCATTCCATTTGCTCCAATTATTCTTACAAGACACGGCACGTGTCTTTACAAAAAATTACTAACAAAGTGTTTTTAATTATAACACAAAAAAACAATGAAAACATTGAACAAAAAATTTCTCTATTATTAGCTCATGGAATTCTTTCTATAAGTACGAATTTAAATATTAATTTAATTTGATTCTTCTCTTCAAAATTTCAATAAACTTTAACGATCACTTTAACAGCAAAAAGATTTATAGACCAAATTTCAGCCTTTTTTATGTATCTCAACTTTTTGTTTTACTGCACTTTACAGACTAAAAATAAACTATAGACATAAAATATTTACACTAAAATACTTTTTCGTTTTAAAATGTGAAGAGAAACTGTATAAGCGCAAATCGTAGATTTCAAACAATTGTTAATGACTACGGTAATGTTTTGGTTTAGTGTATTATTATAAAATAACATAGATTCAAATCTAAAGACCCTCTTTTTTATGTCTACAAATGGAACGTGCTTTACGATTGAAAGTTTTATGATTGTTGGGGTAGTATATAAACTTCGATATTGGACAAAAACGTGTTCTTTTAAATCTTAGTTAAATTTCAATCTCGCGGAAAATAAAGATAAATACAATTTATTAACAAGTAAAAATACATTCAGAGATTTGTTTTAAATACTAGAATCGTTTATTCTTATGTTTTATTAACCTGCTACAAACAATAACGTATATAAATAACGATATTCTCAATAGTTGAGTTTGAGAATATCATCACGAATTAGACACAAAACATATCTTTTTCTAATTATCACAAAATATCACTTTTTACTAAAAAGAAACCCACACAACAGCCTAATAAGGGATATTACTCAAGTTAGTCTACTTTTGATGAGACATTTATTTTAAAAACCAGTAGCTAAAATTAATAGTTGAAAAAAAATATACAATTTTTTATTACGCCATTATTCAGTATAACCGTCAATTTCTTCTCAATTAGAATAAATTCTTATTATATGTACAGTTTGAACAACTTAGAATATAACACTCCATTTTCTCTGAAAAAATTTTATTTTTTTTAAATATTTTTATCCGATAAACGGTTTTAAGATATTTCAAAGATTTGTATTTAAAATATAAATTCAACTTAAATTTTTGTTTTCATAACACCGAAGGCAACAATAATCTGTTTTAATAAGCCATAAATTATTAATATGTATTCTTACAATATTGTTAGTATATTGAGTGACAGATATGATAACTAAAATCTTGTTTATATGACAAAAACCATGAAAAAATTACGACTATTATATGCTAATCAGTAAATTATTAATAGAAAACTAGTCGCTAAACTCAAACAAGCAAAAATAATTATATGGCGAAGATATAATTTTTTGTTCGTCTGTAGGGGGAAATTGAAATTTGTCTTATATACATCCCTCTCCTAAGACAAAATACTGGATACGTCATCAAGAGGAACTGCCAATCCTCAAATTAAAATAACAGTATCAAAACATGTGAAAGACTCACTTACTCAAAGAAAAATATAAAGCAGCACAAGTCAAAAAAAAAAAAAAAAATTAGACAACAAAGATTTAACAAGACAGATATCATTTCGTATACCTTTAGGTAAATATAGTCTTAAGTTAAAATTTCTCATGTGAACGATGTCAATACAATTTTATAGTAATAGCATTGTGTTTATTATAATAATTTGGAGGTTTTCAATATAATATTGGCTTTGTGTGTTTTACACAATTTTATCATCCTTAGGATTAAGCTTTAGTTGCGCTAATGTCTAAATTTCATTATTAACAGCATTAAAAGGGTTTAAAATTTCAGCTTTCTGAAATATTAACTCGAACTGCGAGTTAATATTACAACCACAAAATTATCTAGACGGACTGATTTCAAGCTTAACAAAACAATTTGAAATTAATAGTGCTTTTATATTTTAAACAAATATTTTTCGATACTTTTGTCACTTTAATAGTAATATTTTAAAATACATTTTTATATTTTTAAATGAAGGTTAAAAAGGTATAATAACGAGTAAGAAGTATTTTTATCTTTTATTTTATTAAATTAAAACCCAAAAGAGTTATCTAATGCAATGACATTATTTTCAATATAACATTAAAATCATTTGATGAAAACAAAATTGTTAAATAGTTTTGACTTGATGATTTGACAGACTAATTTTAAGGAATGTTATTTTGAATGGTGAAACTTTGAAAATATAGAAAAAGGGAAGGAAAAAGATTATAACTGGGGTGAGATTCGACTGTTGTAAGTACAAATATTCGTTTAAAGTGTGTATCTCGACAGAAGAGTTTTTTAATTAATTAAAATTATGGGTACTAATTTCAAGAGAAGGGATATATTCATTACTACTGTTAGGGACATTGGAGTTTTATTGTTGTATTGTCAAGAGACTGGTCCGTTTTCTTAAATTTTAACAACGAAAAACCCGTCGAGTGCATGACAAATAGTTAAACGAAAGGGTTGCGAAGACGATTTTTCCTTCCCGATTAACACAAAATATTATTAAATAGAGTTCGTATTTATCGATGGAGTTATTTTCTTTTAATTTTCTTTCACCGTTATAGCTTTCCCCTTCTTTAAATCTTAATTTACTCGACCACAATTGATGTATTAATGAAAACGCGAAGAGCAAATATTAATTATAGAGTTTTCACGAATCACAAAACAAAAGATATTATGTTCTCTGAATTTAAATGCAACCAAAAATATATTTGTATATAAAGAGGTTGGTATTTATTTGTGTAGTAGTGTACCAAATAAATTTGTTTAAAATAATTGCATATTTTCAATACGTAATCTAGCCAAACCCAAAATTGGTACAAAACTAATTAAAACTCATAATAATTTTTTATTTATTTTAAAAATGTCTTGTATATAATAATATTTAAAAATAATACCACAATAATGAAAACTGATAATTGTACTGAATAAAAGTAATTTTTGAAAAAAAAAATTAGGTTTTCAATCCTTGTTTTTTTAAAATAAATTTAAAATATTCAAATTCTTTATTTTCCACCACATTGAAGTAGTTTTTTATGCTTTATGTTTTAGTTTTCGCTATTCTGAAGGACATCTTATCAATTTAACTCAATAGCAGTCATTACGAAAATTTCAATTCCGTTAGAGTGTTAACAACGGGCAGATTGTGTTGTGTCATATTTAGATACATATCACTGTAATTTTAGTACTATTAGTAGGTACTATCTTAGTGTACCTTCTGTATTTTAATTTTATCATTTCAATAGACCAAACACCTACCTAAACTATTACTATTCAAGGAAATTATTCATGTCTAATATTATTTAAATTATTTATTTGAAACTAAAAATTATTCTAAATCAATATTAATTCATAACTAATAAGTTGCTCTTAAATACAGCCCAACGCTAAAAAATGAGAGACAATGTGACTAATAACATCATATTTACTCATTTATCATGCCACTTTCCTTACTAAAAATATCTCATGTCAAGTGTTGACCGAAAACTGGTATATTGTTTTTTCATCAAAAGAAAAACTTTAGTAAGAAGTTTTCATGGATTTTAACTGCTTAATACCTATCATACTAATCTAAATTATTTGTTTTTTCAGTAAATTGTATTTATCTCGTTTCATAAAGAAACTGCATGCCATTTTCTCGAGTTTTCGTTTTGCACATGCACACATTTGCCATAATGGCCATTAAGGAGTGCACCTTATGTAGTCACGTACACAGCATATAAGCACATAGGAAGCAATAAAGCTCCACCAAAAACAATAATGCAATAGTGGTCCTGTTGACGTATGTGTGTGCCCATATTATAAACAATATCGCGGTTAACGTTACATACATACTGTCACTACAACAGTACACAATAATATTATTACACCCATGAGACGTATGTATGTGGTTGTTCACACACGTCAACTATATATTATCAGCATCTCTACATCTATAAGATTGCAGATGCCATATAATATACCATAATAATTGCATAGTATGTCACTTTCCTCTCTCTAATGTAAAATCTTCATGGCAAATCTACGTATACAAATATATACGGTTACTAATTTTTTTCCTTATTGTTGACCAAATATGACAAATTTTTACAACAAATAAAATTATGTATTTTAAATTTTATATAATTTTATATTAATGTTAAATTCACTACCAACAAATATAAATTGATTAAATTTACATGGTATTACAATCAAACTGATTTTATAAAATCGATTTTTTATCGATATATATCATCACACATATGACTATACTTATTATAGGGATGGTTAATTTTATAATTTATAAATTTGAAAAAATTTTGAAGAATTCTGTCCATTTTAAATAAAACGCAATTAACAGTTTTTCCATCTAACGATGAGTTTTCTATTTTTACTAATATATTAAAAATATAATAATGTGCTTGAATTAAGAATTACTAATTTCATAATGAAAAGGTATTTAGAAAATTAAAAATTCATTAAAAATCTTTAGAAATTAGTTCTACATTATAGTGAAAAATCACCAAATTATAAACGACTTCATGACATAGGACCAAATACTGTCTAATCTTCCCATGGACGAACAAAATCAATTGTAGAAGTAAAGCAGCCTAACACTTTACTTGAATTACTTTTTGTAAAAGTTACCGTAATTTTATATTCGCCATAAAAAAATTGTTTTGGGAAATTATTGTTGTATAATAGAGAAATGTCTAATCCGGAGGACACGTAAACACCCTGTAATAATATATGTTTGTTTTATATAAATATGTGAATAATTCAATTTATTTTGAACTTACCGGTTTGATTGGACATTCATAGTTCATATTATATGTAGTTATAAAACTTTTCCAGGCTTTCCCTAATAATGATTTTAGCATACTACACCCTTTTTCAAATTTCAATACATGAGCATTACTTATCCATCCACCATTTACACCTTTCACAGCAAAATTAACTTGAATCTGAGCAAAAATAATAGATTATATTATAAAAAAGCTTAATTACATTTTAAGATTGTTAATTTTTTAAATATAAATAAATTATTCAATTTTGGGAACCAAATAATTACTTTGTAAAACTATAAGTGTATAGTTTATTCTAGGATTATATCCTTGTGAATTATGGAGGAATCAAAATAATTTGAATAGTTACGATTTTGTTTATTTATAAAAAACTATGTAATTTAGTATAAATGTTGATAGGTTTTAACAACACCTTTCCGGGTAATTAATACTAATTTAAGTAGTTTTGGGATCTATAGTTATAGTTTACTATTATTATTTATAGTCTATAAGAAAATTATTTTTTAGCAAAATATTTTTTTTTTGCGAACAAATATATGAAAAAAACTCCTTTAACTAAGCGTTGGGTCTCTGAATACGAATAGGGCTTAAGATGGTCAGAATGTAACAATAAAAAAAAAGTAGAGTAACTATTGTTTTTTTATTAAAAACAATTTGTTTAAAAAGTTTTCAATACATATGTATGATTATAGAAAACAATTGTATTCTAAAGCTCAACTTATAACTACAATTTGCATTAACATAAAAGAAAAAACAATAAAGTAAATAAATGAATAATAAAAATGATACACAATAAAACTAATATTAACATAAATTGCAACATATAAAGATGAATAAATAAGGGGATCTATGGTAAAATTTTACTGTGTGATTGTAATCAAAATAATTACTAAATAATAGCTAAATCTTTAATTCTAATAGATCTGAATAACAAAAAGTTTTTGTAATTCTAATAATATAAGTAAAACAATTAATTATATTATTTATATTCTGGTCTATTTAAAATACAAACTCTATTAATTTAATTTCTTTTTTTTTTAGTTGGAATAGTAATCCTAAAATTATGATTGTTATTAGTGTACTCGTCTAGTTATCAAACAGTTCACAATTAATATAACTTCAAAATTATGTAACAAATTTATTATGACGAAATAACTTCTAACATCTGAGTAAAAATTTAAAATTAACTAATGACAGTCTGAATTTAAGTTAAAAACAAAACTGAAAAGCCCTGTCACTGATGTAATTTTAATTGCTCATAACATAGTTTAATGTAGACATTAGTATTGTAAATTTTGCCATTTAATTATGCATCATTAATTTAAAAAAATCACTTAAATTTGATGCTAAAGAGTCATTGAGGGGTGTTCAGTAACTGGATCAGTTAACTTATTTCAATACATAATAAAAAAGTTTCTTATAATTATGTGACTAGGTAATATAATTATATCAATATAAACAATTCAATTGTAATAAATACGTACACACACAGAATTGTCTAGTGGAATTAAAAAAGTATCATTTCCTCTAATTTCTGTTATATTAGCTGATTTTCTACTTAGATATACGTTGAATTTTAATAAGTGATTTTCTGTTGATTGGCAAGGCGAGTATGTTTTGAACTTCATCCGATATTCTCCCTAGAAAATAGTAGTCCACAATATACTAGTATTATCATTATTTAGGTTCTGAAACAATTATTACAGCAGGCAAATTTGGTCTAAAAACTGGATTTATTTGACAAATAACTAAAATAACAAAAATATTAAAAATGTAGCAACTTAGAAACATTTTCATAATGTTACAAAAAGATATTAGTACATAAGAATATAACTTAATTACAAATTTAAGTTCTGTATATTATATTATATTATATTACGTATATTATCTTGTATATTTTGTTACTTTTTGGATAGTTGGTTATTTAATTTGCTAGACACCTAAGTTTTTAAAAATTTGTATGAATTGTACAGAATAGTTGTTTATTTCATAATAAAATTAATAATTATTTCCGCAATTAAGGAGATATAAATACTTTTTAACAATGAAAATTTAACGTCCTTCGTTCAATCAGTAAAACAGTTATTCATTTTTAGTATAATTAAGTTTTTTTTTTTTATAAAAAGATAAATACATTTATAATTTAAAAATATTATTCTGTACAAATTAATTTAAGTGTTACGATTTAGTCTTTTTTTAACAAAATAGCTTGGTCACGATACTAGGGATATTATTCATAAAAACAAAAACATTTTTTCAATCCTTGAATGTTTGAATCCAGAAAAATGCTCACAGACCCTTTCATTTTACGATTTAAGTTCTAAAACTTACCATCCTTGCACAGAGATATATTACTATATATATCTTGATATTTTTTAAATCTGTTTGTTTTGTCTGAGTGTTGAGGTTTTTTAAAGTTCATGAGCATGTTTTTATATGATCAACTAATATGTTCATACATTGTATATATTATACAGTTCAGCACAGTTATTAATATGAAATATAAAACAGCGTAAGAGTTGTTCTTAAGAAGGAGGGTAGCAAAGTTAGGCATGTGGCTTCAGGTATGCGAAAAGAAAATTAGATTTTATCACAAGTATTTTTGTCATGGACCTCACGAATCTTAAAAACTGATTTACCAACACCTTCATTTATAATTAATAGATATATGAGTTCTATCATCATTACTTGTATTTGCATTCTTATCTAAAGAATTTTTTTTTTAATTTAAACATCAAGTAAAACCTATTGTATAACTTTTCCATTAAAATTAAACAGCAATTTTTTACTTGAAGATTTTCAAAGGATATAAGAGATTTATTTATAATTTTTCATTTCAAAATTGGAATGTTCATGTGATCATATTCAGTAGTGTTTCTTAAAAGTTAATAAAATTAAGTCCCCTTCCAATAAATGTACTAGACCAGTATTCTAGGTTAAAAAAATGATTGGCATTAGTCTCCTCTTTTGAAAATCCTAAGTGGATCACTATTTACATGCATATATTTAAATTGTAAAAATGTACCTATGCTTTAGATCGAACAGTATACAATAGTAAAATAAAACTTTGTAGGATTTGGCTTTTTTTTTTCGTTAACAAGAAAATAATTATGATTATGTGGACAAAAATGAATTTAAGATTATTAAATGATTTAATAACCGTCTTTCTTACAATTGTATATATGTGTGATATATATCTAAAAGGTGTTATATTGCGAGCAATATAATACAATTGATGATAGTATTTATTGATAGGAGTATTATAGCAGTCGTTGCATGGTTAGCATTCTTTAACAGAGAACGGAAATGAGAGCCGTCGCACCCTTACATGTGTGCTAAAGTTCTATTATATTGTACAAAAACCTTTTGCATAGTTCACATATCTTTTTAGAGCAGAAAATTCCACTTCATTCACCCTACTTCTAAATCTTATATACAATATACCAGCGGTGACATATTTGTTCATATAATTGAGTCATCTTTTCCTTTTATAAATCTAAAAGCTTATTTTTTCAGTAAAAGGATTTTGAACGGCCACTGTACCAACGTGGTATCATATGCCTTCTCTTATAAAAATATTTTTTATCATCATATACCATAAATATACATATATATTACATACAAAATTATTTTATGGTACCTTGAATGGGTATATTATTTATTTTTAAATTATATTTTCTCGTGAATTAAATTTTAAAGGAAAACTCAAAATTATAACTAAACATATGCGATGAAAAAAAAATTAACCCTTACATTGTACTCTTTTGATATTCTGATCAGAAAAAGAAAAATATTTTTTACATGTTTATCATTTTTGATTGAGTTCATAAAAATACTTTATTTAAAAAGGTTTATTCTCCCTAAGATTTTTCCTGAGTATTGCATTCATGAATGTCTGCAAATAATACCCTTGCATTCCAAATACTTAAATACTGTAAATTTGTTTATTATTGAGATTTTTTTTGGGGTCTGTACTCCTACCAGCTACACATTTTTAAAAGTTAATATTTATACGTTTAGAATAAAATAAAATAGAAAAAAGTATTGTAAAAATTTGGTGGGTAATTTTAGTTTAAATTTTTAGAAAGGTTTATTTGTAAGAAAATGAACTTATATTTAGGCATTTGAATTAATAGAAGATTTATTAAGTTTAAGGTGATTTCTACGAGTTAATAATACAATTATTTCTTATTTAAGTTATTATAGTGCGTATAAATAAAAAAATAATATTGTCTTATTATAAAAAAGGCTAAGATGGTGAATCTAGACTTATTTTAGAGTCACTAACTCATCTATATACTTAATGTGTTATTATTATACATATAAAAACAGGAAAAATATTTCATAATTATATTTTATACAAAATAATTTTATTAACACTAGCCACTCAATTTCTTTTGAAATACTAATAATATGCAAAAAGATTATTTTTGGTATTTTTCAGTTTCATATATTTCTTTGTTATTCAGTTATTAATTACTTTTTAATTTATTAGTTTTACCTTATAAAGGTGTCAACTTAATTATTTTAAATGAAAACATATATTTTTTACTAGCTTATGAAATAGGACATGATTTAATTAAGAAAATGACAGGTCAATAACAATTTTTGGAACAGTACATTGAAAGTTATTATCATTTTTAAACATAAACTGGAGGTGAGGCGCAGGTATGACGGTACTTATCAGACATTTCTAATAGTGAGCTACCTCTTCTGCTGATTAGGCATTAAAATGTTTAAATTTAAAATTAATTATGAAATTTATTTAAATAACAAAATAAAGCAAAATTAAAAATATACGCAATTATGAAACCAAAACACCACTACTATTTTTTTTTTAAATCTGTAATATGTAAAATATCTAAGATCGATAAACAAATACTAATAATTTTTAAATCATAGCCGATTCTTGAATTAAACTTTTATCATCATCAAGATAGCATGTAATATTTCTCTAAAGACATCACAAATATAACTAAAAATAGACATAGTATGAAGAGTACAAAACAAAATTTTTATCTTTTCTATTAATTATAAATTAAACTATTAACATTACAGAAAAAACATTGATTCTTTTTTTATTAAATAATAATTTCTGAAAAAAAGTTTTATATAATATTTTTTTCGGAAATATCAGATTTATAAATTAAATAAAAAAAATATTTTTTTAAACCGAATATGTTTCAAATATCACTCTTTCTTTTAATTATATTAAAACACTACATAATGGAAATAATATACCATACTATTAGAGACCGTCCTAATATTTATATATATATATATATATATATTCATATAATAAATTAATTTAGGACACCACATAATAATTCTCATAAATATAGTTAGAATAATTATTAATATAGTTGGCCCAACTATTTAGTTGCAAAATTTAGTTGGAATTATTAAATAAATTTATCCAACTTTTTTCTATAATAACTAGTGATGGGCATAATCGAGATATTTCGATTATTGAAATCATATAATCGAGATATTCTGATTTTTTAAATAATATTGATTATTCTATAATCGAGTGATTATTTCTAATGATTTCTCGTTTATTATAAAAACAATGATTTCTTGATCTTGAAATGTATATAATCGAATAAAAGTTATTTCGAATGATGTCCATGAAACGATGAAACGAGAGAATACTATTTTTAAGTTTTTATTTAGCATAAATTATAGTCAAATTATTATTAAATTGTTGACTTCGAGTCTTCTTATTTTCAACTCGTTCAATCGCTACTCATGACAACACCTTATCTGTCACATTTTTGGGAAGTATGTGACGATTAGAACAAAGTTTTGTCCTGAACTGGCTAAACTACTGAGTTCTGATTCTCTCACTAGTTGTGAATTTATGAAAAATCAATTAGGTGTGGAATCAGGTGTTTTAATTATGATGGTCAAGCCGGCTATTGCTACCTTATCTTATGTTTTTATTTTTAAATTTGTTATCGGTTTTTTTAAAATATAGGTAATAATTATTAAATAATAAAAATAACAACTTGTCTTTTATTTAAAGCACTTATTAATAATGCATTATTAATATATTATTGTTATTATTATTCCTAAATTATAGTTTAATATAATAATTATAAATAAACACCAACAAATAAAAAAAGCAAAATTAAATTAATAATTATTTACTATAGGTATATTTATTCATATTTCGAATAATTTTTCGATTCTCTCGATAAATAATAATAGTTGATTATTCTTATCATACGAGCAGACGATTTTAACTTCGAGTGATTTTTCGAGAGATTCACTCGATTATGAAAATGTCTCGATTACTAATCATTCGATTATGCCCATCACTAATAATAACTGGTTGAATTATGAGAAATAATTATACAATCATTTTATCGCTATTTCAACCAAAATTTCAGTTGGTTCAACTATAAATTTTTTTCTAAAAAAAAATTTCTAAGAAGATTTATTCAGAAAATTTCTCAATAATATTATTTACTTGCTCACATATTGACCTTCAAAATGAGCGTTGCATTAAACACAATATAACGAATATTTTTTCATCATTTGTGAATGTACATTATTTTTAGATGTAAGCTTGAGGGGATATGCTAAAGATTTTTTATAAACCGAAGGGATTACGAGAGCGAATGTTTCAAGTATCACTTGTATGGTCCATGTAGTGCCGTTTCCTTTTGTAGATAATAATTTTTGGTTTGCTACAACAGTCCACTTCGGACTTTAGAATTACAATTTCGATGTTCCATTTTATGATTGCGGTCTAATTGGACAATATTGGAAAAGCGTACTTAA